AGGGCCTGACGGTTTTTCTTTTGTCACTTTGGGCACTGTAGCACAGAGCGCAAATCGAACTTGATTTTCCCCTTTGATACAGAACAACAAACAGTAATGAGCCTCTTTCTTTGCCTGGAGGAGGGGACAGCAGGCTGTCAGTCAGCTTTACAGGCTGTGCCTGCTGATGTGGAAAGGAAGGAAATGCAAGCCTGTGCCCAGGGCTGCTTCTGGGATGATTTATTCCAAATTTGCTGACTTTTATTCAACTCCTATAGCATTTATTTCCTACTATAATAGATAGTAATAATTTTTACCATCTTAATGTTTTCTTCAAAGGAGCGTAAAGTGTTTTTTAAACTTTAATGACAATACTTTCTTAACATAAGCAGTAATAACAATGTTCAAGTCACTGATGGGAAGACTGAGGTACAGGGATGTAATCAAAGTCCAAGGAATCCACAGGCCCTACATACCAGGCCTCATATATTATATCATCTTTCGTCTTACTCTCCAAAAGTCATTCTTGGCCTTAAAGAGAATTGACACATGGTAGATGTGGTCTCTGCCTTGGAAGTTCTTTTTTTAGGAAAAGATTTAAGAAGATTAAAAAGTCCTCCTCTCCCTCTTCAGTCACTTAAGAAGTGGCTTAAGATTGCCCCAAAACAGAAACATTGAATATTTCCAGAAAATTTGGGGAAAAAAAAAATCAATCCTTATTTTGTGGCTAGGAAGTTAGTTGTGCAACAGACACCGAGAGCAAAGCTCTGAAAATGCAGCTTCAAAGTCAGGCAATTTAAAAGTGAATTTGGCAAAAATTGTGCCCCTTTGAAGTTCTTAAACCCACCAGATTTTAACCTGCTCTGTGCCCTTGGCATTTACTCAGTTGTATGAGATGCCTCTCCACGTGCCTGGGGCGCTGGCTGGGGTTCCTAAGCTGCAGTAAGCAAGTGGGCCCAACATGATGCAACTGGACTTATTGCTTGACATATCTCCAGACCATGGAGGTGCTTTAAGTGAAAGCTTCCTAAATGACTCAGAAATGCTGAGGCAACCCAGGAGCCTACCTCACAAGCACATGCCTTCTCACTGTTTCTGAACACACAGCCATGCTAACGAAAATATGCTGAGTCTGGCATGCAAGTGTTCACTCACCCCCAGGCATGCAGATGAACATGCCTGCATTCAGAAAACTCTCAGGTACAAACACCCATCCGTAAGCAGATCGAACTTGCACAGTAAGACAGTCACATCAGCTCAGAAAGCATGTTCATATTTCTCAGGTACACAACAACCCATGCGCCTCCATCCACAACCGTTCACAACACAAATACATATGAAATATGTGTGCTTACATACACACTCTCTTTCCCCCCCACATGGATTTGTGCCTGTACACTCTCCCATGGATTTGTAGCCCACACACACAGGCATCCAAACACACTCAGGAACATACAGTACAACCAATGGAGTGCACAGACAAAGATCCACCCATGCACACACACATATATCTTAACGAAGGTTTTGGTCTGGGAAACTCCTTTTCGAGAAACAAAAATAAATGTCAAAAGGGAAAAAAAACCAAAAAACAAAACACCAAAAACAGAGCATGGGGAACTGCACAAAAAAAAACAAGCTCATACCTACACACACACTGTGGAGGCTGACAACCAGTGTTCCACCCCTGCCCCCCAGCTACAGCTGTGGCAGCTCAGCACCTGCTGGGTTTGCTTCCCCTGAATGCAAATGTCAGATGAACTTCACAGGGAGTTCAGGCTCATGTGTCTGTGACCTGTGCCAGGAGTCTCCATCTTCCCTAACTGACCACAATGAAAACTGTCCCTTCCCTCCAAGAGCAGCACCTCCCAAGACCCTACCACAAACACTCTTCAGCTTCTAAAGGAGCTGGGCAGAAACATTTTACCTGCACCTGACCAGTCTAAACATCTCCTATTAGTGGAGCTGATTGGCATTTTAGGGTTTATTGTTTCTTTCCTTTTCAGACTCCAGGTCTCTTGGAACAAGACAAGACAGTGTACGGAAACACACGGCAGGGTTTGCTCAAACCCACAAACAGCAAGAAAGCAACAAGCTCCTGAGGAGGTGGGAGAAGTGTGTCTGATAAACTGCCTCACACTGCTTGGGAAGGTGACACCCGTCCGTCCAAGATGGGCTGCTACTTCCAGAGCCCATTTTCTACAGATGTAACATATCAATTGCTGCTAGCAGGAAGGGAATCTGACAGGACAAACCAACATACAAAACATTCTCTTATTCAATAAGGGTTACAAGTGCAAAGGGATTTCAGAACATTTCAGAACAAACTCCATCCATAGCTGCTGCTTATTTATCAGTGCATCAAAAGATTGTGCAAGTTTTTAGTAACAAACATTAGAAACTAGTAGCAAAGGACTTGCCTAGATAAAAAGAGAAGATTTAAACATGCCAGGTAACAAAAAGACGTGTGCAGAGATCTGTAAAACTGTATAGAAGGAAAGGATTCTTTAGAGGAAACAGGGGGAACCATATACAATGCTCTTCATAGCCCTTACTAAAAGAGTCAGGGCCACCCCTGCTGCCTCCTCAACTAAGACAGGAGATGTTTGGTTGGACAGACACATGTCTTTATTTTTCAATGACTTCTCTAACCAAAAACTGGATTCTGGGCCTTGGCTGAGATAAACTTGAATTTAGATAGGGAATGGAAAAGGGAGGGAGCCTTGTCAGTGGCAATTAAGCACACCACAATGGACAGCCCTGGAGACTGAAGATCAGAGCAATCAGGAGCAGCATGACCGTCTCGACAAGATGCTGAGAATGAATATGATTTATACTGCTCAAATTTAGTGTCTGAGAGCTGGGTGTCTAGACAAACCCAACAAATCTAGACACTCACCAGCCACTGGATGGGCACCTCCAAAGAGCAATTAATTTCCCCTGTCACAGACATGTAAGGGGAGGCACCAGTGGGTCTGAGGAGAGCTGCATCTCTCCCCACCAACAGCAAGAGGAGGCCCTGCTGACTGTCCTTCTCTCACATCAAAGTGTCCTAACCCATGATGTAAAAAGTTCTTTAATTCATAGGGAATTATTGTGAATTTATTCAAAAGGATAAATGGATTTTCCCTGGATTTCTGCTCTATGACAGACCTCCATTTATTTATCAAAACGCAAGGATTTCCTTCCTTTCTGCTTGGAAGACTTTTGTATGGATTCAAATATATCAGTCAGGGAAGTCTTGTTGATATTTAGTATGATTCATCTCCAGCTAACTGTACTTATTTCCTCCATTACCATGTACAGTTCTGTCTCTATGGATGAGAATTGAAATTTCCACAACCTGAAGGCTATTGCCAGGTTCCCTATTTAGTTTTCTTGTGACAAGCGTGGCAGAAAAAAGGCTTTTATTTCATTCTTAAAAATTAACAACTTCAACCAGCTGATAATTGTAACTTTTCTCTACAAAGTCAGCCTAATCCTAATATCTATCTAGTAAAAGGGTAACCAAAATAGTTTACAACATTCTGTGGGAAATGTTGTAAACAACTTTTTGTGTCCAGAAAGCAGGACATTTAAGAGATATGAAATAAAAGTTCCTTTTCAGTTAGAAACTATTTTCCATTCTCTCAAAAAACAAGGAAAATAAACTAGTTTCAAAAAAAATTAAATTATTTATTCTAAATCAAAATGTTACAGCTTGAATAAGTGTCCCTGCTTCAAAATTAAAGAAAAAAAAAAAGAAAAAAGAAGTTGAACAAAAATTAATCTAGAATCAAGATACAAAAATATTTTATTTGGAAGTTTTTTCAAAGTGTTGCCTACATTTTTTCTCTAAACATAGCACTGAGTGAAAACTATGCTGTCACTTTTCTGCTTGCAATAGATTGCCTCTACAGTACACAACAATTCCAAGTTGTAATATTTATTCAGCAGCCACATAATTTTGAAAATTCATGACTAATTTGCTCTCCTTTAACATTTTTTACAGCAATTTTCCTTCAATATTTCTATTTGCCTGGCCTTTATAAGCTGGATATTTGAGTGCAATTTTTGTCTGTGCTCGTAAATCCATCATAGTCTTTCTTTTGGGAATCTCTGCGTTTCCTGCCTGTCCTTTGTCTATTTATCCTATAATTCTGTATCCATCCACCTCCAAGAAAATAGACAGAGGAAAACATTTGGCTGATGTGATTTATGTCTTGAACATCAGATGCTTATTTCAGTCTCCGTGGCTCACTCAATCCTTCACCTGTCTGCTGAGATGGGCACCAGTGGGGCCAATCAGTGTCAATTGTGCCAGTGGAATTTGAGAGATGGAGTAAATCAGGTTGCAAATCCCCAAAAAATGGGTTGGAACTCTAGTGCTTTATTTTTCTTTGGTATTTTGGCTTTGTTTTTATTTTATCTACCTTTTTTTTTTTTTTTTTCAAATTAGAAACTGAACGTTAGGAGAAGGTTCCTCTAAACAGAGATGATTTGGTTCTTATTTCTTTTGGAGGAAGCCTGAGTGAGGAGGCACAGGGAGTATTCCCAGTTTGGTTCCCGCAGTTCCACCTCGAAAGAACTGACCTTTATCTCTCTGTGGGGTGGAGAGTATTGAACTGCCATGGGAAGCAAAGCATAACACTGGGTAGACCAAAGTGCTGGCCTGGGACTATTCTAGCAGCTTCCCATGGCACAAATAGCCTTTTCACTTACACTCCACATTTCCCATCACTTTTCCTGCTATACAGTTTAATTCATGCCAGGCGGATTATGAAGGGAAGAAAATGATGCAACAGTCAAAAAAGTCCTTTAAGTCGTTCCAAAAATTAAAACAGAACCAAACCAAACAAAACGAAAAAAAAAAAAAAGAAAAATAAAAAATAAAGAGCTTCAAAACTAAACAAAAAGTTCTGAAAATAAACTCAAAAGAAAGGAGAAAGGGGGAGGGTAAAAAAAAAAAATAAAATAAAAAGAACCCGGGAAAGGCAAATGAATGTTAGAGCAGGCACGATCATGGACAGACGCCAGCTACTTACGTTCACCTCGGTGATTGCTATATCAACAATGCTACCCACAACAATCAAGGCGTCAAATGTATTCCATGCATCACAGAAATAGTGCTGCATGTGGCAGAGAAGCCAAGGAGAGAAAGAGAGAGAGAGAAAGGAAGGAAGGAAGAAGAAGAAGAAAGAATGAGAGAGAGAGAGGAGGGAGAGAAAGAGGGAAAGGGAGAAAAGAGGGGAAAAAAAGTAAAAAGTAAAATAAAATAAAATAAAATAAAAAAACGAAACGAAACAAAACAAAAGCATGAAAGAGGGAGAGAAGAGGAAAAAAATAAGAAAAGAAAGAGGTTACGTGGGCATATTAAATAGTCTCTTACCACTCTACAGTATTGGTTGCTCAAACCTCTGTAACATTTCACATGATGGAGGGTATCAACAAAAGCCTGGTTAGTCAGAAAGTTACACTCAAACATGTCTACCTTTTGGAGGGAAAAAAAGCACACACACCCCAAACTCTGTGCGCTTTCACCAGTCACAGCCTTGGGGTGAGCTATGACAAGTGAAAAAGAAGGAGGCATTTCCCCCCCTCCTTTTTTTTTCCCTGGGAGAAGGAGAAGGACGACGGCAAGTTCAATAAAAGCATGACTAGAGGGAAAAAAAACAGAAAACAAAAAGAGAGAGAAAAAAAGAGAGAAAGAGAGAAGGAACGGCAGAGGAGGAGGAGGTGGTGGTATCCTGGGGAGGGTAGAGTAATACTCACATTAGTTTCACTGAGAATGACGTCTATAATGCTGCCAATTACGATGAGGAAGTCAAAAACATTCCAAGGATCACTAAAGTAACCCTACATAAGGAAGGGGCAGGCAGGATGGGGATTAAAAAGGAATGTTAGACAGACAAAAACAGTTCAAAATTACCATTAGAATTACTGCCCTGAGACCTCAAGGGGTTTTCCTCTCAAGTCTACTTGTTGCGTCTCAAGCTGTAGCCCAGGCCTGGGTTCCCTGACTTGAGTGAGCAGCCCCCATCCAGCTAATGTGATGCCAGGGCAGTCACCCCTCCCCTCTGACTCTGAGACAGGGGCTGAAGGGAAGTCACAGAGATCATTTTGAGCATGGCTGCTCATAGGAGCCAGGCTTGCAGGACCAGCTCCTCCAGATATCTCGGTTTCTAGCAACACAGCACCCTTCCCCATTTGACTTAGATTCAGCTGGGGGAGAGTACAGGAATGGTGCCATATGGTTCTCTCAAAAAATGGATCCCCTTATGCCAGTGTGAGTATCAATCCACCAGTCCACGTTCCAGATGTAAGGCTCTGTCCACAGGGAACAGCTGGCTGCTGTGTCACGGTGGAGGAGAGGGCACAGTCGAGCTGGGAATATGTTATTTAAATCTCACCACAATGTGTATTATGACAATCATTAGCCTAACGTTTTCTATTACTAATGCTTTAGCTCTTGTCTTAAGAATACAGAGCAGGACTGGTATTTCTGTTACTCTGAAAGCACGTCTGCACCACAAAATGAGGGTGTGAATGTAGCCTGGCACATCCCAGCAGGAAGGGGTAAGAATGGGAGCAAAGCTGGCTTTAGCATGTGCTCAGAGAGAGACCTGTTGGTCCCTCATGTCAAAGATAGTGCTCCAGCAACACTGTCACATTAGCTGTCCAGGACAAGCCACAGCAGATCACTCCAGGGGCTATCTTAAACATCACATTGTCCTAAGCAGAGCTCAGGAGATGCTAATCAGCACTGCTTACTATCCCCATCTTGCATAATTTTTGGCTGGATAGGCTGTAAGGATACAGGATTCTTTTGAAAAAGGTTCTGTTCAGCCCAGAAGATGAACTTCTGTATGTAAACTTCCTGTACAATGTCACAAGCAAAGAAAATTTGTCTTCGCTCACTGAACACCTGTGCCAATCTCTTCCCCTTGTTCTGAAGTCTTTAAAGGAGGTAAACATACAGAATCCTCCATAGTCCTTTGGATTTGTGTTTGGTTTTGTTAGCATGGGCTAATCTGACCTCCCTGTTTCCCAGCTGCAGCATGTCTCCAGTGAGACTGAACCCGAGCTGCACTGTGACTACTATTCTTAGTCAAAGAGTCAGGTCATGGGTAAAGTGTGAGTCTGTGTTCCCAGGCAGTCTTGCAGAAAGCAAAAAGGAGAAAAGGAAAAAAAATTAAGAAAGAAAGAAAAAAAATTATCTCAGTACTGGCACTGTACAAAGTGAGGCTTGGGAACCTCAAATTACTGTGTGTTCAACCATCACATGGAGCAGGCACTGGTAAAAAGTGTCTTTCTAAGTGCTGAAACACTGCCTCCAGGACACTCTGAGACGCACAGTTATGAACAGCATTACACTTGGGGCAAGGAAAAAAAAAGAAAAGAAAAAGAAAAGATGAAGCAAAAAAAAAAAGCCACTGCCTGGCTGGTTTCACACCAGCGAAGGGAGTTGGTAGAGTGGACTTTGAAATCCTCTCCTCAAAACCAGAATAAAACCCCTTCATTCTGCAGCCTGTTCTTAGCAGTTCTACACTGGGAAGAGTAATCATCCTAGGGCTACACATTACTACACAATTAGCTACAACAGGGAGGAAGGAAATAGAAGCAAAAGCAAATTCAGAGAATATTATTATTCAGTGTCCAGCCTAGAAAATACACAACAAATATTAGAATGAATTCAGCGGTGATGTCCAGCATCATTAGCAATCAGAAGGACCTGGAATAAAACTGTAATTAGACTTCACCAAGAGGAAGGGGAGGGAGAGAACAGCAGATTAAATTGTAGAGGCAAACGCATTTGGAATAAATAGAGGACAGACACAGATCATACAGAGTTACAAAAAGTGCCTTTGCAGCCTGATGCGACCTTGGCAAACAGTAAACTTGCAGGATCAAAGAACAGAGTAGAAGACAAGAGACCCAATCCTTCTGCCCCTGTCCATGTGCACAGTCCTGCTGAAGGCAACAGCACTGTTCACATGTGTTCAATAGCATGGTTCTCTTTTATTTCCTCTCAAATGCATAGTTTAGGAATTATTAAGGATTTCAACAGTAATTTAAACAACTCAAAAAACCCCAGTCTGGTTTTGGGCAGCTACAAATATAAAGATCCAAAACATGTTGTTTGGGTTTTGCCCATGAAAATGATGACTTTTAATGATTTTTAAGTCTGTGGGGTTTTTTGCTGTGATTGGCATCATACTGCAAAGCATGTTTTTGGTGTAACCAAATTCACAATTTCTTTTTACTGAGCAGCTTCTTTGGTAGAGCCCAATAGTCTTTGCTGCTGGTAAAAACAGCATTTGCTGTTGATACAAAACCCAGGTGACAAGCAGCATCAAATCCTGTCCTCAGATGACCACCAAAGCCAGTAAATTAAATATTGCTCCCAGCTGTAGTAATACAGCCTCACTGGATGCAATGACACTGCACTGACAGAGTTGGCACATCTCAGGAGAGATTCAGGCCTGGAAAGAAAAGGTCCCTTTTTCATTGCCATCAAAAAATAGCTGCTTTGGACCTTTGTGACACCATGATGTATCTGGAGTCACTCTGCTAACTTCAGTAGTGTTGCTTCAGATTTACATAGGAAGCTCTTTCTCCTAGGATGCTCTGCTGAGTCTCATCAGCCAGTTCCTTGCTTGAAAGTCATGGGCTTGTCTGCTCTGGAAGCCCAGAAAGAGCATTATCATGGCTGTAAGGTGAACTCAGAGAGCTCTTCCTCCTGTAGGAGTCTTCCAGAGAGGAACCATGGATATGAATGCAGTTTTACTCAACCCCACATCCAATATACCAGTGTTGAATTAAGGAAACACATGAATTTTAAAACCTTCCTTTCCTCCTCACCTGCTCCCTCTGTGTTTCAAACAGAAGGGTGAAAAACAGGAAGATATTATTTACAGTAAGAGAGCTCAAAGAAACAGAGAACACAGATGCTTCATTTGTGTGGAAAGGTAATGGGATCCTTCCTTGAAAAGCCAACCACCCTCCTTAGAGACATTTACCTATGAATGGCCATGTGGTTACTTAGCTTTGGCTCAGACCTCATAATCTTGTCAGGAGTTATGAGTACATATCAGGAGTGAACTACACCCCTTTGGGACTTGCCTCCTGTGACCTCAAAGGACCTCTTCAAGCCACATTCCTCACTGGAGTGTACCAGGGTGGCTAATGAAAGACAAGCTGAATGAAGAAAGAGCTTTCACTCTAATAAAGAGGTTGTATTTCCAAAATATTTTTCCCACCAGAAAGTTCTGTATACTTTTCCCAAGAGGGTGGAGGTCTGACTGGAAATGAATTGATGGCACTGTTTGTTTTTGCAGTACAGGAATTTAGAGTGTAATACCATATTTTACCCTTAAAGGGAGATGCTTGACCCTGATTTAGCTGTATAATTGCATGCCACATAATGGCATCCTCAGGGGTTTATTGGTGAATGGTAGTCACCCTCTCTTGTGGGATGTCTTTGGAGATCCATGAAGCTTTTGGGGAGAAAAGAGGACAGAGAGAGACCAGGAGGATTGGATTGAATATTCAGAAAGCATGAAATAGCTCCACCAGAAGAGCATATTTTTTCCCCACTTTTTTTCCCCCCAAAGGTAGCAAATGATAGTGTATCACCATATGATCAATAAATTAATGAAAGACTGAGCATAAATATGCAGTAGCTGACTGGAATGGAATCTCATTTGTGCAAGAGGAGCAGACATTGTAACATTTCAGAATGAGTATGCCAATCATTTTTAGGTCTCCTAGTTGCTGAGATGATCTATCAAAGAAGCTAAGGTTTATTTTGGTACTTATGGAGGCATTGAAATCTCTGGACACCATTTCTGTTATTTTTTTTGTGAATATGAGATCCTAAATTTAGTATCTAAGAAGCCTCAACAATAGCAGGGAAAATTGCCCACTGGAGTCTACCTGAAGCTCAGAGTCACCTGGGGCCCATAATAAGAGTATGTGGTAGCTGAAGTGCTGTGCATCCACACGAAGCAGAGAAATCCTCAGGGGAACGGTGCTGTTGAGTCATGGTATCAGTTGGTTTTGAGCATCCAGCCTGTGGGATCTGCAGGGCCACTTGTGTGTTAACTGATGTGTAGTTATTTATCTGCTTAGTCCCAGGTTTTCATTTCTGTCTCTTACGAGGTGGCTGCCAAAATTTAACAAAACCCTCTGAGAAAAAAGTCTCTAAAGATGAAGGGCACAGCAAGGTCAAGGCTATTCACTGGGCGGGATCTGAATGTGGGTCAGATGGTCCCCAGTGGAAGATGATGTTGCAATGTTATAGGAAAAAAGGGACAGACATGCATGCATGTATGTATTTATGATACAGAAATGAAGCATTGAGGAGGAGAAACTAAGACATACAGAAAACTATGCAGCCTAAAAGGAAAGCAAACTACAGGAGAACCTTGCTACCACTTATCTGAAATAACCCTGCATGCTAAAACAACAAAAAGAAACATCAGTCTTAATCAGATGGAAAAAGTATATAGGAAGGAGAGGAAAGGAGAGGAAGGGGCTGATACCCTGGTATACCATATGATTTCCTAGTGAAGTTTTCCTGCTGATTGCAAAGGGCACCAAAGCAGACTTTGCTGGTGATTTGCAAAATGACATGAACTGCTAGTTTGGTTGATGGTTGGTTAGTGTGTGAATTTGTATCTGAAAATGTGGCAGGCTATTTGAAGCTGTGAGAGTCAGTTCTCAGACTTCATCAAAACAGGCTTTTCCTGAAAGTATTTTTGCAAAAGAGGCAGTTTCATCACAAAACAGTATAGAATCAAGTGACGTTTACACACTACCATGACTCTTGGCACAACCTCTCACAGCAGATTTGA